TGACTGAAGGGAATGGAGCCATCCAGGCCCCATGCATTCATTAGACTGTCCAGGCACAGCTCCCTTCCAGGACAGGACCCCACAGTGAGGGAAACTTCATGGAGTAGAGGCAAATTGAACAGCATGTGGCAATAAAGATGAAGGTAGAGAAGTTCCAGGTAAAAGTGGGAGATGGGGTCATAGTCCACAATCTCAAGAAACTAATTATCACATTCTTAAACACGAAACAAAAATGACAGAAGCAGTTACTGTGTGAAGTTAGAAAGGCATCTAAATCAAGTTTCTTTGTATTCAGAAAAATTAATTTCACGTAAAAATAAGCAAGAGAAAAGTGTCAGGATAAAACCCCATATAAGCCACAAACATATGTAATACATATAACTAATAAAGGATTAGAATCAATGAGGAAAGAAAAAATAAATTAAAAAACCACCCCCAAAGCCAGAGAATCCAATGGAAAAATGAGCAAAAGACATTAAACAGACTTTTTTTTCTTTTGGCTGAGGAGGATTCGCCCTGAGCTAACTCCCACTGCCAATCTTCCTCTTTTTTGTGTGTGTGAACCACTGCAACAGCATGGCCACTGACAGACAAGTGTAGTTCTGTGCCTGGGAACTGAACACAAGCCACCAAAGCCGAGTGTGCCAAACTTAACCACTAGGCCACCAGGGCTGGACCCATTAAACAGACATTTTGCAGACAAAACTAAGTGGCCTATAACAAAGCAGAAATATTGCCAACGTGCTTGGTAATCTGCAACTTGTAAATTAAAACAAAAATGAGAATTCTCATCTGTAGACAAGTAGGAGTTTATTCTGAAACTATTTTGAAAACTATCTGGCATTGACTAGTAAGGTTGGATGTGTGTGTGTATCTCTTGTGACCTTCCTGGATATAGACCTTAGATAAGCTCTTGCCTGTGAGCGCAAGCATTCGTGGTAATGTTGTTTGTAAGCAAAAAGACTAAAAAAAGCTCAGATATCCTTAACAGTCAAGTGTATTAATGAACTGTAATGCGTTTGTAAAATGGAGCTATGCAACTGTAAAATGAATAACAGCAATATACATCAAGATAGATGACTTACAAAAATGTAATTTTGAGCGGAGGAAAAACGTCACAAAAGAATACATATAGTGTGATTCAATTTATATAAAATCCAAAGCCATGAGGTGCTAAACAATATACTTTTAGGGATACAGGACGGTGGATGTCTCTGGAAGGAAGGTTTGGGGACGTGATTGGGAGGAGCCTTTAGTGACACTGAAGAAACTGGAAATGTTCTATTTCTGAAGCCAGGCAGTGGGCACATGAAAGTTGCTATTTCTTTTATTATTATTTAATATGCACTTTACACTTTATACACTACATAAATATGATATATTTTACCATAAAGCTTTTTTAAAAAAGCATCAAGTTTCTATAATGGTAGAGTTGTATATCTTTATGTGGATTAAGGAAATAGGGTTGAACAACATAAAAAATAAGAGTTTTTACAATTTTTTCCTATTTCAGTGAGTAGACAGAGCATAGTGATGCAAATTCACAGATCTGAACAGACTCCATTTTATAATAGTAGGGGATAGAGAGTGACAAGAAGAAGTCATGTGTGTAAATTGTTGATCTGGTCGCAGTGTGTTTCTCCGTGACTATCTTAGCATACACAAAAGGAGCCGGAGCTTCTGCAGGAAAGTGATATATGGTCAGTTTTTGCGGTATTTGAGGTTCTTGTGGGAAATCCATGTGTCTACGTGTAGAAAGGGGTTTGATGCCATGTTCTAGAGCAGGTGGAAGAGTGTGGCCTGGAAATAATTTGGAAAAAAGACATCTAAAGAAAATATACCATAAGTATGCAGTGTTTGTTTACATAGAAAGAAGACGGGTAGCAGTAGAAGGGAGGAAGAAATGGGAATTCTTTGTGAGACTATTGTTTTTTATGTATATCATTTGATAGCTTACAGAATTTTAATAGGGCAGAAATTCTTCTAAGACCTTCATGGTTTGAGAGATTTTAGTTTTCGTCAACAACCTTCACAAGCGTCCTTTGCAACTTTTTGTTTTTAACAATCTTCCTTAAGACTAATACCTCTTCTTCAACTCGTCTTGACTGATAGTGTTGAAGTTTATTTATAACACTATTAGCAAGTTTTTTTACATTATTCTTTTGAAATCATCCCGTAATGTTTGTAGCTCCCAGATCGTAGCATAATTTTCCTAGAGGAATTATAAAATTCATCTTCTGTAAGATTAAGTCCTTCAGAAAGAATGAAAAGAAAGAATAATTACCAAGAAAATATTTAAATCAAGATTTTATCTTACTTACGTGATGCCTGTATGTTATTTTTCAGTTAACAAATTCATGGTTCTATTAAGAAAATACTCAACCAATGTCCAAACGAGAGAGTGTCTGTAAACAGAGGAATTATACACTTGAAATTTTTGTGGTCCAATTAATACCTCTTGTAAACCTACTTGATATTACCTGGAAGATTGAGGAGCCAAAGAAAAATGAATACCCTTTGAAAAACTTCCTGAAAAAAGTTTTCTTAATTCATTGAAGTTTTAAACGTGTGGGTTTTTTCTTTTTCCTTTTGAAAATTAGTTTTCAAGGCAGTTAACCTTCACCTATAGAACTTACTTTTCTGCAAGTATTGAATAGTTAAAAGGTTATGTTTTAACAGAAGTGATCCTCCGTCTTAATTCTTGTTTACATGTGTCAACATTATGGGTAAGTTGCTGAGGTCTGTTATGATGGTTCCTTCCTACGATGTGGAAACCTTTTAAATTCAACTGAACAAACATTTAATATATTTGTTGATACCAAACTATATACAAAACACTTTGCTAAACATTTTTGGAGACTCACAGATGAGTAAGACAGACCAATGAGATGTATAATGTGAAATATAGACATTGTTATTACTTCCTCCAGAGGTTAAGTTTAGGATTAAGCATGTTGATAGTTTTTTAAAAAAGGAGTATCCTATTTATCTGGAGAGAAGATTTCTATCCCCCTGAACCTTTTAAAACACAATTTCAAAGGGAGAATGAATGAGAAAAATGTTTGCTACTAAACACTTTTATTTTACAGGAATTCCATATACTATGCACAAAGAAAAGAGGCAATAAAAACATTTAGAAATTGTCTGAAAACTAGGTTGAAAATAGGATAAGAAATTGGAAGTAAGAATAAACACGGGAACACTGACAACACCAAGATGTGGCAGCTGACAAATTAAAAAGTATGAAGGATAAATATCCTTTCATTCTTTACTTGTCCCATTTGGTATCACTGTACACAGAATTGATGCTCGTAATCATGAATTAGTTATCAAAAAAGTTAAATTATATTGAATATTCCCTATTTAAAGGAGTATGTCAGTGTTCAACACATTTTAGAGCCAAAGTCCTCTTTTTACTTTTTAATTTTGATGGGATTAAATTCTTTGGTTATCAAGAATATTAACCATATAGGATACTTTATAAGGATAACATAGTGTGACTTAGTGTTATTGTTTTATATATAAAACTTCATATATTTCCGTTTCAAAGTATGCGGGAGAGACATTGTAGATAACAAGTAGTACTATTTTTAAGGTTCTGATATTAAGAGCTTTTTATGTTTCTCCTTTAATTATCCTAGAATTCATCTGCAGTAGGTTTTATTCCTATTTTCAGAGGAAGAAATTGAGGCACATTTCAAGAAACTAGTTCAAGGTTCTTCAACTAGTAAGGACAGAATTTACTAATCATGTAGGTAATTAGCCAACTTCATAATCTTAGTTTTAACTATTTGGTCAATCTTCAATTAAATATGGTTGTGATTAAATTTTTTTATTCCAAAAAATGAAATTAACTTGAATTTGCTTAAGTATATTGTAGACCTGATTATAAAGAAGTTGATGTATCTCCTAGAACCCAAGGGCAAGTTGTGAAGCTGAAACCATGTGGCCAAATGTCTCTGCTTCTTTTTTGTACCTCTGCGTCATTGTTTTTACTTTGCTGACCAGCTTTTTCTGTGGTGCTTTACGTCTTATGAAGACTGATATTCACACCTCCTGAATTTTAATTACCATTAACTCTATCCACATAGAAAGACTGATGAGTTGTCTCTTAATCCCAGTTCTCAAGAAAGAAAACGGATAAGCCCAGCATAGAGTAGGAGATTAGGCACCCTAGTTTAATCCTTCATAGCCACGGAAGCAAGATTACCTAATAGTAACATGGCTATGAGGGTTACCAGCCCTGTGTAATGGTGGTGGTCCTGTGATGGCACAGAGGTGGATCTCAGAGACAGGAAGTGGGGTGGACAGTGCTGTCCTTCAGCTTAGACAGCAATGCATGGTGGTGAGGATCATGGTTTCTGGAACAAACTTTCTAGATTCATTTCTCAGTTCTGCCTTTACTGGTTCAGAGATCTTGTATAAATACTTAACCTTTTCATACTTATTTTCTTCATCTCTAACATGGAAATAATAATGTTATGTGTAAACTACTTAGAAGAGTTTCTGACAACATATTAAGTATCTAATACATCTTGGTTATTATTTTATGATAGTGGCCGATTGTAGCATAAATTTTGCTCATCAAATAAATTGATCTAATTTTCACTTTGGTAATGTTTCATTACTCCAATGACCTTCAATGCTTCAAAAGTGGTATTTATAAAATAAAATTATCTTGCTCATGAAATTTTCTTGCTCTTATTTTGGTGCGTTATATTATCGACACATCTGTTCTGTATTGATAATATTGATAACAAAAGTGGGGGGAAAGGAAACTTTTATAATACTCTAGTTACTTGTAACAAGGAAGATTGATTCCCTAGTAAACTTGAAACGATATTCTAATACTTCCTGGTGAGTAGAATGTTTTTACAGGAAAATTATAATAAAGCATATTTGCATAATTATTGAAAATTTTGAACAGTTTGTTTATTAAGTTAAATTATACTGATGAGGTTATTTAATTTTCTGTTGATTAATCAGACATTTACTTTCAGGTACATGACAGATGGAGGGCTCAACCTGTATACGAGAAGTCTGAACCGAATACCAGACACAGCGTCTTCCAGGGATGCCATCCAGAGAGGGGTTCATGATGTGACAGTGGATGCAGACAGGTAATGCAATCAGCATGCATGATGGTGAAGAGTGCATAAAGTAATTTCATAAATGAGATCCTAGGAGCTTTACAGTGTAAATCAAAGGACTTTCTATTTCAATATAATAATTATTTTGGAACATTTAAAAAATTGTCGGTTTTACTTACAAGACGTTTTTTAGGTTTGTATACTGAAAAATATTGTGTTGCTGGTGAGAATATTTAAAAATTTTCAGGCTACGTGGTAGCAACTTTTAATATCTGTAAAAGGAAAATTATAAGCATAATCTTATATTCTTGACTTGAAAAAAACCCTGGCTGATAAATTTCTTTTAATTCAGATACCCTCAGATTTACCTGAAGGCTAATGATGTAAAGATTAAAACATATTTCAAATTATCAGGTACATTAACCTTGATGTTTTTCTTGAGGGTGTTGTTGAAAACATACAGCTCTTGCTTTAGGCTAATTTCTTTTCATCCTTGTCTCAGATTGCTTAAGAGGGTGTGTCCGTGTGTGTTTTCCATATACTAGTTATTTTGCTGGAAATTGCTTTGCCAGTTTTATCAGAATCATCACTGTTTGAGAATATTGTCTTTGTAAAATAATGTCGTAAGACATATTTCTGACCTCATTTTGCCCCCTCTTCACTCCAAATTTTGAGTAGGAAGGGATTGCCCATTTTCAGAATACTATGTATCAATATGTAGAGTGGTTCTTTAATTCAGTATTTATGAAGAGGACAAAAGGTTAAGACTTAATGCTTCCGCATTCTGAAATAAGGACAGTGTACCAATCATTGTACATTTTAGTACAGCCAACTCCAAAGGCTAGACAGTGAATTCTGATGTCACTCTTCAGTTTCTCTTCACTCAAATGCTATTGATATCTTAACTCACATTGGCTAGAGGAACAGATTTGGCTCTCCTCCTGTATGTATCCTGGTCTCCTAATCTGTATATCAAATGTGTGTGAGTATGTGTGTGTGTGAAGCATGTTGCAAAAGGCTTATGAAAAATTTTGCTTCCCCCTCCAAACTCCTTTTCAGCTATTTTCCGGCCCTGACTCCTTCGCTAACTTCAACCACCCTGAACTTCCTTCTGCCTTTGAGTTGACACTTCCTTTGCCTGGAATGTCCTCTTCTATATTCATTGCATTATTGCCTCCATCACAACATTTTTATTTCAGCTTAACGTTACCTTCTCAAAGAAGTGTTTCCAGAGCAGCTAAGATACATTTATTTTCCAATCGTTTTCTTGCTTGTTACCTTATATTATTTTCTTCAATGTACACATCACTCTTTGAATATATCATAATTACTTATTTGTTTACATGTTGATTTTCTATCTCTGCCATTATCATGTAAGCCCATGAATGCAGACTTTTTGTCATATTCATTATATGTTGAGCCTTGAGCAAATGCTTGTGGAGTGAATGAACAAAGGAATGAATATAGACTGTATATTCATATAGGCTACATATTCATGTAAGTTAGCAGTAGGGTCCAATTTGGTGGAGAGGCAAGTGAGGCCAGAAAGAGCCACGGTATTGCAAGGGTGTTATGAAAGTAAGGGAGTGAGTTATGTGGGAAAATAGGAAGTAGTGATTATAAGGGAGGAAATCCAAAGTGTGGACCACATTTTGAAACTAATGACCTACACATTGTTAGCTGAGAGTGGAAAACAGTAAAGAAGGGAAAATGTGTTGGTCTTTGGGAAATGAGGTTATGATGGCAGAACCTAAGAATTGACACAAGGGTGACTTTAGTTTGGAGACAATTGGGATAACCAGTTATTTTTGTTCCTTTAAGGCTCCAGATTGGGGCCTGGCTAAGAAACCTCAGACCAACAGAAAGACCCAGATATGCGTCTAATGACTTGGGACCTGTGAAAGCAGTGGGTCTTAGAGTGCGGTACCTGGACCGGCAGCATCAGCATCACTTGGGAACTTGTTAGGAATGCAAATTCTCAACTGCATCCAAGACTTACTGAATCAGAAACTCTGGGTGTGGGCCCAGCCATCTTAGCTTTAACCAGTCCTCCAAGTGGTTCTTATGTACACCAAAGTTCACCAACCACTATCTAAAAATTAACAAGTAGTTGCCAGGCCTATAAAAACATAAACACTTAACATGACACTTAAACATAAAACATGACATTTTAAAGTCCTTAATACTTTAAGTTATATAAAAAGTTTTTGAAAGAATTATAATTTAAGGAATGCAAAAGACCACTTTGCTCACTTGGCTAAATGAAGCAGCAGTAAGGTCATAGTGAAAATCCTACTATCAGCAGAGACAGGAGTTACTATTTTATTAAAGATAGGTCTGAAGTTCCTTTAAAATTTTATATTCAGGAAGTGATTCCAGGTGTATCTATTGTCCTAAAATACATAGTCTTAAATATTACAGTTGTGTAAGTCCTGTTGTTTTAAAATACCTCCTTATACAGGATGTTGTTGCATAAAATTTTCTTCTGATATCCGTTCCAAATAGAATAGATAAGAAGGGCGATAAGGTAATACCTATTTCTTTAGTTCTGCTCAACAAAGGTACTGAGAAGTCCTGTAGTTCAAAGTAAAACCTGCTTAACTCTATTTAATTCAGTGCTGCTTAAGCTTTTTTCATCACTGATAGCCCCACTTTTTTTTCTATAATGGTAATTAATTTGTTCCTATAATATTTTTTAAAATACTGATTTAGCCTAATGCCCTCATTTGGTGGATATAGTAGTAAAAGGACTTGGATCTTTTACCTCTTATACATCCAGTTTCCCAGCTACGTTAGTCAAGGTCTTTTAAATAATATAAAACATGTTAGTGATGGGTTCATTTTAGTAAATTGGTAAATGATAAAGCTTGTGGTAATTCACAAGAAAGCTTAAAAGAAAAGCTTAAAAGAAAGCTTAAAAGCCAAAGAAACAATGTTTGATTAATTTTTCATATTTCTTAGATATTCTTTCTAAAAGTTCTATCTGTGAAAATCTATTTACGTAATGACAAAGTAGCCAGCTGGCTGGAAGAAGAGTGGACCTGAATTGTTTGTGTTGATATAGTGAAGGTAATAGATTCCCCTTTGGTCAACCTCTGGTTTAGATGTGATGGGCAATAGAGAATAGTGGACCTCGTCTTCCCAGCAGGTTGAGATGGCCCCAAAGAAAGAGGAGGGCCTTCAACAGCCAATAGTGTATTTGAAGTGTTTTATTATTCAAAGGTATTGCAGTTCCTTTACTTTCCATATCAATCCAACACCAACCCCATCTCCTTTTTAAGCTAAGTGAAGATTACAGAATGGGACTAATCCTTGTGGACATGTTGGAGACTCTCTGGGAACTTCACAAATAAATTCATAACAGACAGTTAACATGTGTGGGCTTTATCCATTTTGCTCTGGTTATAATGATTGTCAATCCTAATTCACATGCACTTATACACTTGGGTTGTGCTATATTTAAAAGGTAATTTTGGGGGAAGTTGGAGAACGGTTGTTGTTTTGGGCTTTATTAACTCCTATTACTATTCTTACACTGTCTATGCTAGCATTAACAAATATTTGATTAATAAATATATAATTACTCCTAAATGCCTAACATCATAAAGCACCTTGGGTAAAAATAGAATGAAATATTCAGGGTGAAAGGTTCTGAGTTTAACGGTGAGAGAGAATAATGTAAACAAAAAAATAAAGTGACAATAAAATTGACCAAGTCGTAATAGATGTGTATGCAAAGTACCTTAGAAGCACTAAAGGGAAGTAATTATTTCTACCTGGGAGTGTAAAACTTCAACAAGCAATGTGATTTAAACAGGGCCATAAAGAAAACACAAGACTCTTTGACATATGACCTGGGAGAAATCAGAAGGAACGCGAGAGTGAGAACGTAGAGGCATAGAAGAGTTTGGTTTAAGGAGATGTTAAAGACAAGAGGTGGACAATAGTTAAAGCCATAAAAACAGGTTTCATAAGGAACTATTGCAATAGAGGAAAAGAGACCGCAGTGTAGAACTGGGCTTGATTCTGAATACAGCAAGGACAAGCGGGGATTTACAGCCAACAAGCAGAATGTGGGGGTCAGTAGATGGAACAGTACTGAGGGGAGATATCAAGGTAGGCAGATTCTTGCTAAACTGACTCAACAAGATTCTAGCTGAAGGTAAGCCAGGTGATCAGGTACAAGAGTAGAGGATGAGAAATTTAACCAGATATCAAAGGTAATCAGATATCAAGGGTGGGCGATTCTCTCTGAACTGACCTAGCAGGACTTTTACTAAAACTGGGCTATGCAGGCCCAGCAGGGACCAAGGTCAAAGCTTAGAAGAGAAAAGTCATGAGAGGACCCTGGCTAAAGTTTGGTTAAGGAAAGAGTCTTTGTCAGAACCACTAATAATGTGATTTTGCTGGTGCACTGGGTACGTGGACAGGGATGGCAAGAGACAAAGGATCTGGAGGACCATTCTAGAGTGTTTGGACCTGCAGTGATAGGGAGGTATTTTACTAATTTTAATTACTTTCTTTTTTTAGTTTCAAAGCAAGAACACATGTTATAATCATAGCATTTTAGAAAGAACTCTCTCACAGCAAATATTTAAGACGGATGATGCAAAGACAGGTAGACTGCTTAGGAAGTGACTGTAAGAGTCCAGGTGAAAGGAGATGTGCACCTGACTGAAGAACAGAGTGGGGACACCATTTCTAGAGGAAGCTGGGCTTGGTTTGTGTGTCTTACTCTGGTCGGGCTGCCATAACAGAATACCACAAACTAGATGGTTTAAGCAATAGACATTTGTTTTCTCATAGTTCTGGAGGCTACGCATCTATGATTACAGTGCTGGAAAATTCATTTTCTGGTGAGGCCTCTCTTCCTGGCTTGTAGATGGCCACCTTCTCACTCTGTGCTCACGTGGTCTTTCCTCTGTGCTCCCTCATAGCGAAAGAGAGAGATCTCTCATGTCTATTCCTCTTTGTATAAGGACACAAGTTGTATTGGAATAGGGCCACATTTTTATGACCTAATTTAGCCT